CCCCCCCAACCCCCAGAAACGTTTTACTGTAAGAGAGTGACAGTAAATCTGACACGAAAGACGGGGGGAATAGGCCAAAGCACATTATGACTACAGACAGCAAAATCAAGAGCACGTGCAAGTCTTAGTGAGCAATAAAAAAAAAGAGCTGCCTGGGACGGCGAAACGGGGATTCGAGAACGTTTTTTACGCTCAAGAATCGCAAGAAAGTGTCATTAAAATTAATGTATCCGATGCGGAGAGAGAGAAAGAGAGAGAGAGGGGTCAGGAGAGAACGATAGAGAGATAAGGATGGGCAGAGAGAGAGAGAGAGAGAGAGGGAGAGAGAGAGAGAGAGAGAGAGAGAGAGAGAGAGAGAGAGAGAGAGAGACCCATGATGAAAACTGAGCTAAACAAACGAACAATTTAAACGTACGCACATGAACAGGGCTAAGTTTCAACTGGATTGATCTAGATCTATTAGGTGTCTCGGTTGTTTCCAATGTCTCTCATCTGTTTTGAAATGTTTTTCAAGATCTAGTTCTCAAGGAATAGATTAATCTATTCCTTGCCAGCTGAAAATCATTCCTGCATGTGGTTGAATGATGCATTTGATGTAAATGTACATTTTGTCAGCTTTACTTCTCCTTTCATATTGAATTTTAATTACTATCCTATCCTATCCAATCCTATCCTATTATAGCAGCTATATGATTTAGAATGTTAGCTCCACAAACAACGTTGCTATTGATCTATGGATGTATTGCACCTTCTTTCACTCCCATCCTCAGACATTCTGGAGACCAGCCCCCATTCGTTATGCCTGGAAAGTACAAGTTGCTCGTTGAGCATGCGCGTCAGCTGGTTCCGGTGACGCGGTCTGGGGCACGCTTCCTACGGGGTGACGACATGAAGTCTGTGGATGTCATGGAGGGGGCGCCAGGGGGTTACAGTGTGCTAGTCGACAGGTTGGTATCAGCAGAAGTTGAAATGGTAACAGAATACGCCATTAGTTGTGACGATGAGGGTTTCGAATTTATGCATGGCCTTCCCACGTTTGGATGAAGCTAAATCCTTTAAAAAGACAGGATTAGAGAACAAGTTAGGATTTTTAACCCCCCCCCCCCCCCC